GAGAGAGGGATGAGGAGACAGAGGAGAGAGGGATGAGGAGAGAGGGAGAGAGGGATGAGGAGAGGGAGTGGACTCAGAAAGAGGACCAGATCCCACTGAGTTACCACAGCTGCTCACTGGGGGGCGCTACTCCCCACTCAGGCCCTGGCAGGAAGCCAATCAGCAGCAGAGGAAGAAGAAGCCCGGCCCCCTGATTGGCCGGGACAGAAACAGAATTCCCAACAGAAACAAACCTCCTCAGAGCAGCAGCTTTCCAGCTGGAGTCAACCCCCCAAAACAAACTACTGGAAACAAACCCCCCAAAAACAAAAAAAAAAAAGAGCTCTGTTTTTGGGGTTCCATAAGGCTCTGGCGCCCCCTAACAGCTGCTGTTTTTAGAGACCTTTTGCATTTTTCCCTCTGCTGGGAAATGGGATTTAATCATTTCTGTAAAAAATAAAAAAATAAAAAAAATAAATAAAAAATATATATACAGTAGAACCTCTACTTCCAATCGCCTAAACATACAAATTTTCCAACATCCGAAGTGAAATTCGATCAAATATTCGATTTGACACCCAAAGTAAATTTCCTAGTCATAGAAAACTTTTTATTTTTATTTTATTGAATTAAAATAAATAAGATAAGTTAGTTTTAAGTTCAGGTAGTGAAAGTTAGAGTAAGTCACCTCCACCTCTACCTCCGTTCACCAATATGTGTCAATAAAAACCCCTTTTTATGGATTATTTCTTTATCATTTACTTCTTTTTACATCTCTCCTATATAATGCATTTTTTGTATTGCTATGTGTAATTATCTGCAGTGTTTATTAAAGAGTCATGGTAGGTTTTTGGAACGAATTATAGGAATTACAATGTATTCTGATGGGAATCTTTGAACCAATATACGAATATTTTAACATAGGAAGTCGGCCCTGGAACGAATTAAATTCGTATGTAGAGGTTCTACTGTATAAATATAATTATGGGCAATCCCATGTGTAAATCTGTTTTAATCTGTATTTTAATGTGGCACATCTGGATGGCTCCTGCTACAACATCTGTATTGGCTGATGAAGACGAGGATAAACGCAGAGCCGAAGACAGATGGACCGGATACCCTGGATGGTCCCACAGACACACCCAGGTTTGGTCCCAGTGCAGAATCCACACAATCCACACAACAAACACAACTAACACAACCCAGGAACACACAGGCGGGCATTCGGGGAGAGATCCACTCTTCCTCCTTTGAATTAGTGATGAGGAAGAGGCTGCTGAATTATTGAAACCAAACAAGCTTTTTGGCCCAGAGAGAAAATAGTGACTGAGCAGAAAAAACAAAAAACAAAACTGCACAGTTCAGCCATGATCACCCCAAAAAATCCAGTTTGTATCCTGTTTTATTTGTTTAAGAGTCTCAAATGAAGTTCAGCTCCGATGAACAGCAGAAATCAGATATTAAAAAGGAAATTGAATACACACCAATGAGCCTTTAAAGTGGGAACTCTGGTATTACTGACAAAAAGGTGCTTTGACATGTTTACAAATCAAAATATTTATACTACTGAAAGAAAAACTATATGTAATATGATGATACATTCTAATAAAATGACAACATTTATGCAGTAACAACTGAAAAAAATTCAAACAAACAAATACATTTTCAGGTTCATTTTTATTTTTTAAACATAACCTATTTAAAACGACTGACTATTTTAATATTTATTTTTTTATATTTTTATTTTTTATATTTTTATTTGTATTCAGTATTTATGTCTGAGTTTTTTACTTTACATAGTTTTGATTAATCTCTTAACTTTCACCATACATTTCATCGTCCTTATTCTTTAAATGTAACGATGTATTTGATCATCATTGTGGGTTCATTATAGAAATCTACTTTTTTGTAATACAAGAGCTTATATTCTGTTCTATTCTATTCTATTCTATTCTATTCTATTCTATTCTATTCTATTGTATGAAGTTTTTCTAAATTGAAAGCTCCTCTTTAAACACCGTTTGGATACAGACTGGATAAATAAATAAATAAATCAGAGTGGTTTTGGTTCCTACCTCGTGGCAGTCCTGCAGAAACCTCTGGAGCTCCCACTGGTCGTTCAGCTTTTCCAGCCACTGTTGGGCCAGCTCCCGGTTCTGGTTCCCCCTGAGAGCCAAAAAACAAGATTTACATTTGAACTTATGGCTCATCTATGAGCACAAAGGGAAACATTCCCCAGTAAGTTTGTTGGTGTTTACGTTCCTGATTTTGGAAGAAAGAGGTCGAAGACATTAAAGCAGAAGAAGGATGGAAGTATTCTCCTTATCTCTTATATTTCTGTCCCTCTCTTTATTTTATATCACATATAAACATTTATAAAATGCCACTATGTTTAATTCCTATTTTAATGTATTTAATCATGTCTTATCACTATTTGTCATGCCCGTTTTTTTGTTTTTTTTGTTTTTTGTCATGTCTTGGTCTTATCATTTCCTGTTTTATTTTGAAAAGTACATGCCCTCTTATAAAATGCCACTATGTTTGATTCTTATTTCAATGCATTTAATCGTGTCTTATTTTATCTTTTGATCGCTGTAAGTTATTCAATATAAGTTTAACTTGTCCCCCTGTTACCTTAACATGTCTTACAGTATTGTGTAGCTTTATATTGCTTTAATTCTTGCCTTATTGTCTCATTTCTCATCCTGTTGTGTATCATATCCTATAGCCTCGTCATATTTGGTGTAAAGAGGAAGCATGAATGTTGAAGTTGGTTCTCCCCGACAAAAAACTATGCACTAATGCGTGTAAAAAATAAACTTTTACAGTCACCGTGTGCTGCTGGATTTTTAATAAAACACTACACAAGCGGCAAACGCACAAAAAAAACACAAGAAATGCGATTAGTCGCTAATTACTTGACTGTTGATGAAAATAATCAAATAGAGTGTTTCAACAGGCTGAATGAGAGGCAGACACACACCCCGTGTTAATTCATGCTAATTTAATACTAAAACCATATGGTGCCCCCCCCCCCCACCAGCCGCTCGGCTATCGCACACATTTCATGGTTGGCGTGAGTCTGATGGGCCCCCCTTCTGCCTTTTGTGTCCTTTACAGGCTGCTTTTTATTTTTTTTTTTTTTTTTTTTTTTTTGGTCCAAACGTGGACAGTTTCTTCTCCAGCCGGGGAAACGCAGTTTTTAGCTTCTATTTTCTCCAAAATAGCCCAAAGATCCACCTGTTTCCTGACCCTTAGACAGTTAGAAAAGAGCTAAGACTCTTTTCTAACGGTCTGATTGTTGTGTGACACAGAGTTCCCCACTGAAAAGGCATTTTTGACCTTTTCTATTGAGGTTTTAGGCTCACTGGAGAAGAAACTGTCCACGTTTGGACCCTGGAGGTGCAAAATCTAATTATTTGTTATTTGTTGTAACTGGAAGTTCAATAAAGGATGAGGCCTATTGATGTTTATATATTATTTTCCTTTTATATTAATAGGATTATATGCAAATATAGTAGTTTTGATGGACTTTTACTTGAATGCTTTTATATTATTTTTGTAAAATATAAGATATTCTCACATTTATTGCACTTTATTTTATTCATTAAATGTTATTTTATTTATTCAATATTTAGTTGAATGAGGAGGAGGTGATATTCTATGTTTTGGCCCTTGAGTTTCAAAATAAAACTCAAAATTAAGTTTAAAAAAAACAAACTTGGGAAATTACTCGTAGTCATTAGGCTGCATAAGGCTGGATAAAAGCTAAATAAAGGCTACATAAGGCT